TTCCTTTTTATTTCTTCTTTCATATGTAAAATATATATTTATTCGTCATGGAAAAGTCTTATCATTCTCATCATTTTCATGTTTTTCATTATTAAATACTTCTATCAAACTTCTTCTCTTATTCTTCCTCTGTTTTATGTGTTTTGATTTTCACATTACATTTATCCTCACTTGATTTCTGTCTTTTCTAAATCTTTCCACTTTTATCATTTTTTCATTTTTTATTCTTTAGTTCATTTCTTTCTTGTTCTTGGCTTCTTTTCCATGCTTTATTTATGTCATTTCTCCTTTCATTGTTCCTTCTATTTTGTCTTCTTCTTATCTCATTTCTTACTTATTCCTCCTTCTAGTTTTTGCATTGGTTATTGTTTTCATTCCACACTTCTCATTAATCTGTGTCATCATTTTGTTCAATCATCGTACTGTTATTGTCTCTTTACCATTTTTCTTTTCATTACCACTCTTTTGCTTTGTAATACTTGATTCTCCTCTTCATCATTTCTTTTACTCTTAATTTCCTTTCTCTTAATGTGTGGCATTTTCTTATCTCTTTGTTCTTTCTTCGACTTTTTCTTTCAAAAACTTTCTCCTTCATCTATCTGTCTTTGAACTTACTTTCTATCCATTGAATAAAACTACTTTCACCTCTTTCTTCTTTTGTCACTCAAATACTTACTTCTATTTCATACTTATTTCTTTCATCGAAATAAATGTTGCTAAAATCCTCAAAAATACCTCAAAAATGAAATAAATTAATTGATGTAAACCACTTCACTCTTTAACTCTTTTTCACGTTGATACATAAACATACTCCCTTTTTATTTCACAACTATGTAGTAAAATGATTTAATATAACAAACCCATTAATTCCTTAAAAACAAACGGATGAAAAGACTTGAAGGTATTTTAGTTGAAAAATATATTTTTGTCTTGAACGTAATATGAAAAGCTGTAATGGCAAACAAGTTTTTCTATGTCTTGGCAATTCTGACAAACATTCTAAAAACCAGCCAAAGTAAGTGGATGAGAGGAAAGGAATTTCATTTCAACAAAGTCTCAAAGCAAAGTGTAAATAAAGTGAATTACTTGAAATTAATATGAAACAAATAAAAATAGAAAAATTTTCACTGATTGAAGAGTAGATATGGAGTGAAATTTGACATAAATATTTTTAACAATATACTATAAAAATGAAAAGTATTATTATAGACTAATTAAAGAGTAGATAAGAAAAAAATACGAATATTTATTTTTCTTTCCTTAATTTAGTTTAAAATAAACATAAAAATATAAAAATAAAAACAACCAACATTGAAGTAGATCCTCATCAAATAAACAACCTCATTCAACCATTAATTTAAATAAATAATTTTCTTAATTACAAGTTCATCAAAAACTAACTGACTTTGGATGTGGGTATTTAAATCAGAACTGAAACAGTTCATATCAGTTTAATGTCTTCTTCAAGTGTTGAAATGCAATTACTTACTGATGGATTTGATATCTTTGATGTCACTCCTGATCCAAATAATTTAATGGCAGCAGCACCTAGAACTACAGACAAAGGTTCTGTGAGTATTTTTATGATGTTTAAATATGCAACATGGATTGAAATAATTTTTAATATTATTGGTGTCTTAATATCTCTTTGTGATGGTGTTTTATATCCATTGATTGCAATTCTTATTGGTGATGTATTTGATTCTAAAGCATTTAATCCACTTGCATATGATGTTGCTGAAATTGAAAATTTATGTAATAAAACTTCATTAAAATTTATGTATATTGGAATTGGATTATTCTTTACTTCATTAATTAGAACAATTATTTTTGATATTACTGGTGGAAATCAAATTAGAAGAATTAGAAGATTATATATTAAATCATTACTTGATCAAGAAATGGGTTGGTATGATGCTCATAATAGTGGAGAAATGACATCTAGAATGTCAGGTGATATTTTCTTATTACATGATGCCATTGGTCAAAAAGTAGGTGAATTCTTTTCTTATTTTGGAATGTGTATTACTGGATATGTTATTGGGTTTGTTAAAGAATGGAAATTATGTTTTGTTATGATATCTGTTGCTCCTTTCATGGTTGGTGCTGCTGGTATTTTTGCTTATGTTCAAACAAGAACAGCATCATCTACTCAAGCATCTTATTCAGTTGCAGGAGGTATTGCTTCAGAAACTATTTCTAATATGAGAACTGTTGCTGCTCTTGGTATTGAAAAATCAAGAATTCATCAATATCTTCAAACATTACGTCATTCTCTTCATGTTGGTATTAGAGCTTCACATGAAACTGGAGGTTCTACTGGATTACTCTTCTTCTTTGTATTTTGTGCATTTTGGATTGGTTATATTTATGGTGCTAAAAAAATTCAAAAAAGAGATATGTCTGCAAGTAAATTGGCAATTGTTGTCTTTTCAGTACTTTGTGGAACACTTGGTCTTTCTCAAATTGCAACTCCAATTGGTTCTATTTTCAAAGGAACATCATCTGCATATAGAATATTCAAAACAATTGAAAGAATTCCAAAAATTAAAAATGAAGGAAAGAGACATATTAGTGAAATTAAAGAAGGAAATATTGTATTTGAAGGTGTTTCATTCTGTTATCCAACAAGACCAGATATGTTAATTCTCAATAACTTCAATTTAGAAATTAAAGCTGGACATTCAGTTGGATTAGTTGGTGCATCTGGATGTGGTAAATCAACAATCATTGGATTATTACAAAGATTATATGAACCAGTAGATGGTAAAATTATGATAGATGGAATAGATATTCGAGAGTTTGATTTATATGAATATAGAAGTATGTTTGGAGTAGTTGGACAAGAACCATCCCTATTTGCAATCTCAATCAAAGAAAATATAGCACTTGGTGCACATAGAAGTATTCTTGCTCCACATTATCATGACACATCTGACCCACAAGACTGTTTATTAATGCCAGAACTAGAAGAAAAAATTATGAAATGTGCACATATTGCCAATGCTACTAACTTCATTAATTCACTTCCTCAAAAATTTGATACAGTACTTGGTCAACGTGGTGCACAAATATCTGGAGGACAGAAACAAAGAATTTCTATTGCAAGAGCTTTAATGAATGATCCTAAATTACTTATTCTTGATGAAGCTACTTCTGCATTAGATTTTAAATCAGAAAAGATTGTCCAAAGAGCATTAGATAAGGCTGCAGCTGGAAGAACATCAGTTATTATTGCACATAGATTATCTACAATTAGAGATGCACATAGAATTCTTGTCTTTGACCATGGACAAGTTGTTGAAGATGGAAATTATACAACATTAATGGAAAAACAAGGATTATTTTATAAACTCGTTAAAAATCAAGAAATGGGAAAGAAACAACAAGAGAAATTTGATAATGATGAAGACTTAGAAGAGGATGTTGTTCCAGATCAAACTGAAGTTGATAAAACATATATTGAAGTTGATGATGACCATAGAACTAATTGGCAAAAATTTAGTGCACATTTCCTTGTATTTGGTAGAGTCTTCAGATTAAATCTCAAAGAAATTCCATGGATGATTCTTGGATTTATTGGTTCAATGATATATGGTGCTTTATTCCCAATTTTTGCTTATTTCTTAGCAGAAGCAATTTGTATGCTTGTTACTGTTTATTTAACTGGAATGTCTGATGATAGTGAAATTATGAAATACTTCTATATCTTCCTTGGCATATCTGGAGCAATGTTTATCTCAACATATTTACACAAAGCATTCTTTATGATGTCAGGAGAATTTTTGACATATAGAGTAAGAAAATTATCATTTTATGCAATTTGTAGACAAGACATAGGATGGTTTGATAAAAAAGAAAATTCAACAGGAAGACTTGCTGGAAGACTTGCAGCTGATGCAACGAAATTAAATGGAGTAACAGGAAATTTGATTGGAACAATGATTCATTGTTCATTCTCACTTATTATTGGACTTGTTCTTGGATATATCACAAATGTAAAAATATCATGGGTATCTACTATCTTTGTTCCATTAATTGTATTTAATACATATATTCAATTAAGAATTTCAGTTGGATTTGCTGGACCAGAAACAAAAATCTATGCTAATGCAGAAAATCTTATGACAGAAGTTGTTGAAAATATCAAAACAATTAAAATGTTAGCAAAAGAAGATTATTTCAAAGAAAAGTATTGTAGTTATCTTGTTAAACCAGCTAAACGAGCACCTTTTACTGCAATTATTAATGGACTTGTTCTTGGATGGGTACATGCATTTATATTCTGGAAATATTCTGTATTAATGTATGTTGCAGGTCAAGAATTAAAGAAAGACCCTTCAGGAATGCCAGACATTATGAAAGCATTATGTTCTATTATCTTTGGTGCTATGTCAGTAGGATTTGCTGCAACATATATGGCAGACTTTGGTAATGCAAAAGTTGCAGCTGAAAGTATTTTTAAAATTATAGATAGAAAATCCCCACAAGACCCATTCAGTGAAGAAGGTGAAAAGAACTTTACTATTGACCAAGTTGAGTTAGACAATATTAAATTTAGATATCCAACAAGACCAGAACAAGTTATTCTTGATGGAGCAAGTTTTGTTATTCCAAAAGGAAAGTCTGTTGCACTTGTAGGACCTTCTGGTTGTGGAAAATCAACAGTTATTCAATTAATTGAACGTTTCTATAAACCAGAAAAAGGAACAGTAAAAATTAATGGAAGAAATATTCAAGAATTTAATTTAGCAACATTAAGAAATAAAATTGGATATGTTGGACAAGAACCATTATTATTTGCTGGAACTATTGGAGAAAATATTGTTAGTGGTATGTGTGGAAGCTGGACTGATGACCAATTAGAAAATGGAGGAAATCTTGTTGCAGAAAATATGGACAAAATTGTAGCTGCTGCTAAAATGGCTAATTGTCATAATTTCATTTGTCAACTCCCACAAGGATATAATACTATTATTGGTGAAAGAGGAACTTCATTATCTGGTGGTCAAAAACAAAGAATTGCTATTGCTAGAGCATTAATAACTCAACCCGAATTACTTATTCTTGATGAAGCAACATCAGCACTTGATTCTGAATCTGAAATGATTGTCCAACAAGCAATTGACAAGATTGCTAAACAAGTAACATCAATTGTTATTGCTCATAGATTATCAACTGTAAAAGATTCTGATATTATTGTTGTTCTTTCTGGAGGAAAAGTAGTAGAACAAGGAACTCATGATGAATTGATGAAAGAAGAAGGTGTTTATTTCCATTTGGTCCAAATTCAAGCTCAATAAATATTATAGACTCTTTGTTTTGATGTAACAATTTATTGTCTTTTAATTTTTTCTTTATATTCTTCTTTTTTATTTCTTAATGAAAATATTTAACAATCATTATCTGAATTGGTACTTTATTTAATTAATTTACTACCAAGTTGTATCAATTTGTTCAGTTGGTTCTTATTATCACTCCTTCTTCATTTCATAACTTAGTCTTTTTTAGAAAAGCCATCACCATATATCAATAACAAAATAATAATTTCAATATCAAATATCAAATGAAAAACTATATTTGATTCTACCAATATTTGTATCTTTCTTTAATAAAATTACATTATGCTTTATATTTGTTTAAAAACAACCTCAATATTGCTTTCAACCATTCTGTTAATGTAATAAATTCCTCTTTCCTGATGAATTAATGACTATAACACATTGATATTAACATACGTTCTTGTATTTAAATTAAAAATGTTAAATGGGAAAGAATTAAAAATCATCATAGAATATAAAGACAGATGAAATTTGTGTTGTCTCATAATCTTTTGGTTCAGAATAAAAAAACAAAGTGGTAGAAATGAACTATATTTAATGAATTGAAGCAACATAATAATACTAATATTTATAATACGGGTAATCTACTTCTTTCATAAAGATAGAATTAGTTCATATGTAAATATAACATATCTAATTACTATTTTTGTTTTTCATAATGATAAGAATAACTAAAATAGATGTATAATATCAATTATATCATGTAATGTTATTAGACACATACTACCGCAGTTAAGAACAAATTTACAACTTAAATGTTACTACCACCTACACTCTACTCAAAACTTTTCACTTTATAAAATTGTTGAAATAATGAAAATAATAAATTATTTATCATCTTATGTGGCAAATAAAGAAAAAATTAATATATTTTTCTATTGACTATAATAACATTCTTTCAATTCAATAATTGATTAGAGAAAAATTAAAAAAATAAAACAAAAAATATCAAATATAAAGCAAAAAAGGACTCTCAAATTAGTTTTAATGACTTAGTTCTTTTCTTCTTCATCAGCAACTTCACCATATCTCCAAACGTTGAGATGGTTTTCTTTAGCTTGTAATTGAGCAGCTACTAAATCAACACCCCATTCACTATTGTCATGGAAGTGTTTGTCAACAAATGCAAGACCAAGTTGGACAAGGTGATTGTTAATGCAAACATCTCCAACAACAACCTTAGCTTCTTCTCCAGAAACAAAGAGTGAACCTTCTTTCTTATAATAAGCAGCAACAGCTTCAACAGCAGCAGCGAAATCAACATCTTTAGGAGTGAGAGTCTTAAGTCCTACAAGTCCTACAGTTTTAACAGTAACAGGTTTACCAGCAATTTCTTCTGTGATTGGTTTTAATTTGTTTTTACCACAAATAATAACAGCTCCTGTATCAATGCATTTAAGAACATTAGCACCAGTTGCAACTTCAACAAATTCAGCTCTATAGAAAAATCCTTTATTCTCAACAATACATTTATCACCAACAGCTGGTTTTATAGCACCTTTCTTAACAGTCTTACACATAGCATTAACTTCTTCAATAATTTTAGCATCTTCAGCATTATCATAATAACCAATCTTTTCTCCATCAAAACCTGTTAAATAAACTTTTTGTTCAGCACTGAATTTAATTTCAGTATTTCTCTTTGGTTTCTTTTCAATAACTTCAGTGACTTCTTTCTTCTTTTGAGTATCAAATTGATAAATTTGAGTCATATTTTCTTTCATTTGTTCAATTTCAGATGAAACATTGTAACGTCCAGTTGGAATAGCAAATCCATGTTCAAGAATATAACTAGCTAAATCTGTTCCATTACTAATAATTTCAACATATAAGTTTCCTTTATGATATCTCTTAAAGTCTACAACAACTTCACGATATTCACATAATTGTTTAACATTTGTTTTAGCACTCTCAACAAATTTCTTAAGACTATCATTAGAATCATCTTTTGGAACAAAACAATTTTGAAGATGAACAATAAGTTGAGAATTTTTCTCTGGAATGTAAACAAGATATACGGTTAATGAAATAGCCTTTTCAATAACACATTTGAAATTATTTCCAATAAGCATATCTTTAACGTTATCCAAATTAGAATAATTAGTAATTGGAACTGGTTTATATGTTTTCTTTGGAACAGCTTTTAATTTACTATAATCAAATGATTGATAGAATTGGTCCTTAGTTCTTTCATCAACTACAACAAGTCCTTCTTTTAATAATGGAATAGCAATATTTGTTTTATCTGCATAAACATCATAATAAACTTCAGTAACAGTTTCTTCTCCTTTTTTATTTTCTGATTTATAAGCTTCTTTACATTCAAATTTCTTTCCAACAATTAATTTTCTAATAACCTCTCTCATTCTAAATTCAATAAGTTCATTAAATGCTTTGTCGTCTTTCTTATAAAGTGGTTTAATTGATGCAAAGTTAACATTGAGAACTTCTCCATCTTTTTCAATTCTAAGATATTTACCAATGAAAAGAATATTACCTCCTCTAATTACTCTAGCATTCTTCTTTCTTTCTTTAAGGTCTTTTTCTCTCTTTTCTTTTTTAGCTTTGGCTGCATCTTCAGCCGCTTGATCAAAATTAACAAATCTTCCTTTTCTTTCTTTTTTAGCAACTGCTTCACATTCTTCATATACTTGCTTTACTGATTCCATATTTTCTTCAAATGTAGAAATAGTGACATATCCATTCTTTAATAATTCTTCAGCAATATCTTTCTTATCAACTGTAATAATTCCTGTTACTCTCTTTCCATTGTCCATAACTTTAACAACACAATCTCTTTGATTATAATTCTTATTGTTGAATTTTATAGCTTCTTTAGCAATATCATCAAATTCAAATTGTTTCTTTTCTACATTAAATGTTGCATGTTGATTAATTCCAAAGAGTGAAACTCTTACAATTTTTCTTTCTGGAGTTTCAATAATGAATTGTCCTGGTGCATCAACTTTCTTAATATGTCCATTAAGATTTTTCATTACATAAAAGTCAAGTTCTTTACTTGTTAATTTTGGATCAATTGGTTTTTTTATAGAAATTTTTTCTGCGTTCTCATTATGAACTCCTTTCTTTTCTTTTTTAGCCTTTTCTTCAGCTTTAATATATTCTGCAATTTCTTTTCCTTTTCCCTTTAAAACAGCATATCCATTTTCAAGAAGAGTAATTGCAATATTTTCTCCATTAACAAATGGAATTACCATCTTTGGAACATTCTCAGTTGCTTCACTAACAACTTCAAATTTAACTTCTTTACCATTAATAAGTTTTTTTCTTAATAATTCCCCACATTCATAAGCAAATGTCTCTTCTTTATTTTGTTTTTTATCATATCTTGGAAGTTCAAGATATGCAATCACAATAACTGGATTCTTTTCTTCTTCTTTCTTTGTTGCAAGAAGAAGTCCATTCTTCTCAGTAATTCCTGTAACAATAGCGTTCATGAATACTTTCTTATCAGAGGCATCACCTTTCTTTGAGACTCCCTTCTTATTAGCTTGTGCTGGCATTTTAATTCTTCTGATCTAATTAAAGTCAAGTTCTTTTTCTATTCTAGGGTTTTTGTTTATTATTTTTATTTTCTTTTATTAATTCTTTAATAATTCTTTTTAACTTTATCTTATTTTTTTTTTTTTTCATTTAATTTGAAATTTAAAGTTTTCTTTCTATTATCTTTATTCATTTTTATTATTGTTTATTACTTCTTTTAGTTCTATTCAATGAGTAAGGAACTTATCTTTGTTTATTTCTTTTAATCATCATTTATTAACTGATTTATTCCATTTTTTAAATCCATAAAAAAATTTCTCAATCATTCCATCATGAATTTTTTTTTTACCATTTGTATTTCTTTTTCTATTACTATTTTCTTTTTATTTAAACTTAACAAATTACTACAATATAATTTTTTAATAGTTATTAAAACAAATGTATTGATATTAATTCAAAAAAATCTAAAACACAAAAACATGTTATGGCGTCTTTGTTTAATTAAATTCCTTTTCAAATAGGCAAAAAGATATCACCATTTAAAAAAATTGGTTTATAATTTTAATTTATTAATGTGTATCATTAAAAGTCTCTAAACTCATTTAAATTATTTGTTGAAATAATCAAAAAATACCTTTTTATTATATATATAGTATTTATTTTATTTACTATTCCAACTTATTTTAACAAAAAATACAAATTCAATTCATTTTTTTATTATCCTTTTTTTTTATAATTTAATTACATTCATAAAATGGTTTTTTATTTTTATTTATTATTACTTCAACTTTTACTTTTTTAATATTCTTTTTAGTTTTAGTTAGTATGGAATAATTCTTTACCTCAAGACTTATTTGGTTTATTTATTAACTCAGCCTATAACAGAAGTTAATTTGTTTTTCCTTTCAAACTAATAACTAAGAATTTCTTTTTAACTAATCCTTTTGTACTGAATGAGTAATTAAGTTTTTATTGTTAAACCAACTAAATATTCTTTACCACAATTTTTACCAAATACAAAGAAGATTATATAAGAAGAATAGGGAATGTTATTAATTAATAAAAAAATAATAATAAAAAAATAATAATAAAAAATAAAAAACAAATTCTATAAATAAATAGTAAAAAGAAGTAGATGAATAGAATTTAACAGAATTTCATTGATAAAAATAGAATAGTGAACTGAGAATAAAAGAAAAGAGATGGCTGAAGCAGAAAAGCAACGAGATTTAGATGAGACATCAAAAGAGTTAATTGAAAAGGCAATAGCTGTACCTCAAGAGAATCGAACAAAAGTAGATAATTTATATTTTGATGTTGCTGTTGGATTCAAAGAAGGACAGCCATTAGTGTATAGATTGATTTGGATTTGTTTTGTTGAAAGGAAATTACGATTAGTTCGACATAGAAAGATTAAAGAAGAGTATGGATTATATACAATCAACTATGTTTCAAAATATGAACTAAACAAAATCAAATTAATTATTGGGGAAAATTTTGTTGTTATTATTCAACCACAATCATTAGATGATTTAAATGCATTATTTAAGGTATTAAGAACAGTTACATTAAATCATAATATTCCAATAACAAAAGAAGAGTATTTATTAGATGTTTGTTTTTATATGAAACTATTTAAAGATAAGAATTAAGAAAATAAAATAGAAAATTGATTATTTAGACATTAAATTTAAAAAAAACATTTATGGTTAAAAAAAGAGGAAAAACATTTTGGAATAAAAGAGTTCTTGATATTTATAATGGTGCTATTTATTTATATGAAAATAATATTAAAGATATTCCATTAACCATTTTACCAATTAACGATTCAGTTACAATAAAAAAACAATCTAAAGGAATATTAGAATTTGTTTCATTAATTCGTGATTTAGTAATTAAATTTGAGAATGATAATGAACGAGATGAAGCAGCAAAATTATGTAAATATTGTTGTCAATATTCTATTACACCATATAATACACCAATAAAAGATTTCTTCTGTGGAAATTTAAATGATTTAATTGCAGTATGCAGAGAATTATGTTTAAAGAATTATCTTTATCCAGAAGAAGGAGATCAATACTTTCCAGTTCTTTGTGAAATATTAAAATCAACAACAAAGAAAAGATATGCTACTATGACTGAAAAAAGAGCAATGACAACAAGAACAGATGATGCATCAGTGTCTGTTACTGAAAATAAAAAACATCAATCAACACAAATTGACGATGGAGAAGAATTAGCTACTATAGCTGAAAAAGAAGATCCTAAACAATATTTTACTAACTTTGTATCAATTGGTAAAGGAGGGTTTGGTGAAGTATTTGTTGTTACAAGAAAAGATGATGGTAAACAAGTTGCATTGAAAATATTAAAACATGGAGCAAATGAAAGATTTAGTAAAATAGGAATAGAAGTAGCACGACTATATCATTGGAAACACCCTAATATTGTTGGATTTGAAGGGTGTTGGATATTTGATAATAGGGTGTATATTGGAATGGAATATTGTTCACAAGGAACATTAAAATCATTATTAAAAACAAAACAACGATTTAATGAACCTGATACAGCTTTCTTAGTAAGAGAAACATTAAGAGCACTACAATATATTCATGAATATGGATTTATTCACAGAGATATTAAAACAGCAAATATCATGCTTTCAGCTACACATGCAGTTAAAGTTATTGATTTTGGACTTGTTGTTCGTGCTTCAAATAATCCATCAAATAGAGCAGGGTCAAAAGCTTATATGGCACCAGAAGTTATTAAACAAGAACCATATGATTGTAGAGTTGATATATGGAGTGTTGGATGTGTAGCACAAGAATTAATTGAAGGAAATCCACCATATAAAGAAGTAGGATTAGTTAAAGGTACATTTAAAACGGCAACCATTGGAGCAATGGGGTTAAGAAATCCAACTAAAGTTTCTAAAGAGTTTAAGGATTTCATTGAAAAATGTTTTGTCTTTGACTTTAAAAAACGACCTCAATGTGAAGAATTATTAAAAGTTTGTTTATTATTTTGCTTATATGTTGATCAATGATATTATACATTTTCATTCAAGTTTTATTTGATTTTTAATATTCAATTAATTAACAAAGAAATATAAAAGAAGAAAATTCTTTACTCATTTTTATAGATGCCATTTTTTGAATTAGCTGAATCATCAATATTGAAAAAACAAGCTAAAACCGATCCAATTGAATAGATTGTAATTCATTATTCTGTATGAAATAAACCACTTTTGATAATGATATTATTTTTATTTTGTAATAAAATAGAATCATTTAAGCAATTATATTAACACAAAGATAAAGAGAGATAAGAAGATTATTATTATGCAAATTGAAATAAATGAGGTTTTAAAATTGAACTTTGTGTTTCTTTGGTATATTTAGAACTACCAAAATACTCAAGAAATGTTAAAATATTAACATTTGAAGAGGAACTTGAAACAAGTTAATTAAAAGACATTCTCAGTAAATACTCTTAAGAAGTCTCACAATGTTTCTATTAATTTACAGCATTAATCATATGAAGAATATCTTTAACAGGAATGTACATTATAACAATAATCTTAATAATTGTTTTATCAAATATGGATATGTAATATGATGTAATATAATATAGTTTATTTCATTCTTAACAATGAAACAAAATGGTATACTTAATAACATTAAGACAATATAGTAGAATGGACAATTATAATATTCCATTATTAAATCATAAAGTTGATAAAGGAAGGAATTATTAATATTAATGTATTTCAATCTGACTGATTGACTTTAAAAAGAAAGAAAATAAATGCAATGAAATATTTCTTCTTTTAGGTAAAATGAAATAGTCTTAACAATCAGAAAATATCAACAAATCTTTTAATGAATCAAATAAGTTTGTTTTGATAGTTTAATATTTAATATTAATTCATACAATGTATTTTACTATGAACCAATTAATTATAATGAATGTGAATAACATAACTCTTTTTCATCTTTAATAAATAATAATAATTTCATTTTAAATAAAGATTAGTTATTGTAATTCTTAAATAAACATGTGAATTAACGTTAGTTACAATATAAAACACTTCTTATCTTTAGTAGACTGATTTTCTTGTTTACCTCTTACTTTCAAAATTTGTTTTGCTAGTGAAATGAATGCATGTTCAATATTAATATTTGACTTAGCAGATGTTTCAAGAAATCCAACTGCACCTTTTTGTTTAGCATATTCTAAAGCATCTTCTTGAGTAACTTCTCGTTCTTCTTTAAGATCAATTTTATTACCAATTAACATCCAAGGGACTGTAACGTCTCTTATTCTTAATAACATCTCAACTGTGCTTTGACATTCAACAAATGATTGTTTAGAAATAATAGAATAAAGTATTAAAAACCCATTTCCTACTACCATATATTGTTGTTTAACACTTACAAACTCATCTTGACCAGCAGTATCTAATATATCTAAACAAACATCAATCCCATCTAGATTTCTAGTTGTTCTAAAACAATCTTCAATTGTAGGATCATATTGTTGTTGAAAAACATGGTTTACAAGACGAATGGTTACAGCTGTTTTACCGACACAAGGAGGACCTAATACAACAATCTTAACTGATGGCATTTTGTGAATAAGTAATTAACTATTTTAAGAGAACTTGAAAAACATTTCATAAAGAAAAAAGAAAAAAAAAAGAAGAAGATTAAAAACAAAAAAAGAAAAAAAAAAAGAAGTTGAAAAGTCAACAAACAATGACGATTGAAGAGATAGAGAAAGAATTATCTTATTATAAGTCATATCATGAAATTACAAATGAAAGTTTTAAAATGATTTGTCCTAATGAAATAAGTTATAAAAACTTTGCAATTAAATATTATTGTAAGAATCAATTTAAATATAATATTAAAATTGGTAAAATTTGTCAATTAAATGAAGAGAAGTATTATAATAAATTAATGGAATATAGTCTTCAAAAGATGATGCCATATCCATATCATTTAATTGATATTGGATTTTTTAATTCAATAAACCATTCTGATAAACTTAACCCACCAAAATATTATGCTCAATTAATTAAAAAATTATTAAATGAAGGACTTCCATTTGATAGATTACCAGCATTTACAGCTCGTGATGTTTTTAGGTTTCTTGGTGTTTCGAGGAATCAATTTACTGAAATAGCAAATAGATATAAGTCAGAAAAAAGAAAAGTTTGTTTTATTTTATTTGAGTTGGGTTTAAAATGAAAATAAAGATAAATACGAGGAATTAATAAATAATTAATCATTAGTTATTGTCAAGAAAATTTCCACTTAATTTTGAAGTGAAACAACCAAGTTTTGTTATTTCTTTTTAATATTAGAAGAGAATAATTATTTGAAATAAACTAATTCTTGAAATAGATTGTCAGCCATGGTGGATAATAAGAACATATTCAAATAATAATGAAGGAAAATTAACTACTACTGAAAAATCTATAAAAGAATGTTTAGATAAAGAAATATATTTATCAAATGTATTTATTATTATTCCAGTTGAAGAAAAAGATTCATTTATACCAATTATTCATGATAATATTATTATTACAAGAACAACAAAAATGGAATATATTTATTATCGTATTTTATTACTCATAGATGATAGACTTACTATTAAAGATCTTATGTCAATTCTTATTGATCCAAACGATCCTTTAATATTACAAAAGAAGGAAGAAATTATTAAAGCAATATCTTATTTAGTTCGTCTTAATAGATTAAATAAAGTTGAAATTAGAGATATTCAATGTAATGGAATAATACCAACACCTAGAATAAACCAACAAACAAAGAAAAGAGTTTGTTTTATTGTAGATGAAGCAATAGTTTCTACTTTAATGACTGGAATTACCAAGACAGATGATATTAAAAGAATTGTAGTTCATCTTTTTGAAACAGGAAGACTTACTAATGATCAAGTCTATGCACTTATATGTCTTATTGAACTTCTTAAAACACAACCATGTGCAAAAGATTCAAGAGCACATTATAAAAAATTTTTTAATGTTGCTAATTCATTAGTAAATATAATAAAATCATTACAACAATTAATTTGTAATGAAGAAGTATTTGGATTATGTGATGGAATTGAAATAATAAAAATGGAATGTTTAAAATATTTAACTGAAAAAGAAAAAGAAAATTATAGAATGAAATATACAAGTGCATTAATTGGTTCTAATAGTAAAATTATATCATGTCAACACACTCCATTCTGTCCTCAATTAATACCACATTCTGTTTTTTCTAGTTATTTATTTACAATATTTTTAAATTATAGTTATAATAGTGGAATTTCTACTTTAATTCTTCCTAAAGGATCATTTCTTCAATCACTTCCAAATCAATTTCATCAATTTAATTTCATTCTTTCAACTACTTTTACACATCGTCAAGATATTGTTTCTACTTCAAATGCATTACTTTTTTTAAATGAAACATTAAAATCACAACCAATTATTATTCATGGTTTACAATTTAATAAACCTCATTATGAAAATATTATTTTCCCTATTGAATTTTCACAAAGTCCATTAAAAAAACATCCTATTATTCAAAAATTATCATCAGACCTTACTTTATCAAAGTTTGTTGGAAAAATAGTTTTAATTAATACAACAGAAAATGACTTTGATCTTAATAAATTTGATAATTGGGAATTCTTCGATATTGTTTTTGGTATTCCAATGGATTGTTATGATGAAAATCAACAATGTGTCAATGCTTTACCATCACTTTTAATTGAAAATAGTAAGGAAGAAATGTGGGAGACTTCTTCTGATATTGTGCAAGTATTCTTTCAATTTCTTTCTAAAAATGGATTTGATTATAATTCATTGAACAATCAGTACATTTTGAAAGAAGACATATTATTATATCCTTCTCAACCTATTCTTTTTGAAAAAAAAAACAATTAATTAAATAATTTATCATATATTCTTCTTATATTTTTAATATCTTCTTTGTAACAGAGATTAGTATTGAATTGGTTATTTCTAGTAATGAATAGAACTTAACAATAAGTTAATAACGATAATACAGGAATGATGACTTTCAACTAACAAACAGTGATTTGATTTATGTCTAATTATTAAATAAAACAATAATAATGATATTGAAGTGGATGAAAATGAACAAACAAATGAAGAACATTTAAATATCCTTTAAGTAGTTAATGAGATGAAAATGCTTTAATTAATGAATAGTGATAAAAGATAAACATGAACAAATTCTTATGACTATCATTTATTCATGAATCAATAACTTTTGTTGATGGTTCACATTTTATTAATTAATTCAAATAAAAGTTATATCTTTGTTCTTCATTCTTTATCTTCATAAATTAATTGTTGTTTTGTCTGTTTGTTAATTAAATATTCTATCATTTATCAATTTCATTTCATTGTAATAAGAAAAACAATAAAATGAATGTAAATGGTAGTATTTCATAAAAAGATAGTCAGACACCCTAACATCACCTCTTGAACCATCTTTAGAAATTTCTTTCTTTAGATTGTTTCAAGCCGTTCATTGTACATTTGTTTCCAACTGTTTATCTCCCGTTGGTGTTGTTGGTTATTTAGTCTTCATCCTATTGTCTTGTTGTTATTTTTAAGACGGATAATGGATTGACTGTACTATAGAAATGATCCTAAGAGTACGGTCTATTTCTTTTTTCTCCTTCTTCTTTTCTTGATTCTCTCTCTATTTCTTTATTAATTATGACTTATATTTAGGGTTTTTACTATATTTCTAATTTATTTTAATTATTCTTTTAATTATTTTTTTTGTTTCATATATCCTTTTCATTATCTTATTGTTCATCTCTATCATTTCTTTTATGAGTCATACTTGCTTATGACATGACTGTTGGTTGTACGAAGGATTATAGGAAAACAATATTTTACACAACAAATATTCATTTATTATTATTGTGTGTATTAATTCAACAAATAAGGTAGTAAATAATTTTCTTATTTATTACAAATGTTTAATTCAATTATCATTCATTGTTATTATTTATTTTTAATTTGACTCAATCATTTTTATATAATTATTATTTGATTGAAACTGACTTTATATACAATTATATTTTGTATTTTATTTATAAATGAATCACATTACAATGTTAATTTAGTATCTTTTGATTTATTTTCATTGTTCTTATTTCAATAAACATTATATTAAATTATAAAGAATCTTAAAAAAAAATAAATAATAATATCCTTCACTTTAATATTTCTTTTAATGATAACATAAAACTAATACAGTTAATGAAAAGAAATTAATTGACATTGTTACTATTAAAATTGATTGTCTTTAGTACCATTTTATTAGCTTCCCTATAATTTATCTATTTATTTTCTTCTTTCAAGAATAAATAATGTTCAAAAATAACTTAGATTATATAATTAATTTTATAATGATTGTTTATTATCATTAACAAATGAAAGTAATAAAACATATCATTTAAATCAATTATACCAACTCCAAAGTATATATGAAATCAATTAATTGTAAATAGACAATGGAATGAGATAATCTATATCTCATATTAAATAAATAAAACTCATTAATTGAAAATAATAAACTCTTTCTATTCAAGTAATACTTATAAAAATTAATCAACAAATGAATTAATTGTCTTTAGCCATATCAGATGAAACAGAACTGTCATTAATCTCATCATTAATTTCACTTTTACTCATTGATGATTTACATTCTATTGAAGAAATATCTTTAGATTTTGTATTAGTTTTTGTAGAACTAGAATTATTTTTGTTATTAGAATCTGATTTTGATTTATCAGAAGTCTTTTTATAAATAGATTCCAATGCTGATTCTAATTCTTTGAAAGATGGTCTTTCTGATGGTACATGGCTCCAAGCCCATTCGATTATTTCTTTGAGAATACAATCATTACTAATACAAAGTCTTTTTCCAGCACCTACAAATCTTAATATTGATTCTGAATCAGGGAATTTCATTGGATCATATGGATCTCTTCCTAACCAAATTTCTAACATACAAATAGCAAATGAATATACATCTGATTTTAATGTCATTTGATCTTTTCTTGTGATTTCTGGTGCCATATATACAGGTGTACCAATATTTTGTAAAGCAATAGTATTTGATGATTCAATAAATGAACGAGAAGTACCAAAATCAGTAACTTTAGCAGTAATAGGATCTGATGGATTTTTAGAATAAACCAAAACATTATCAGTTTTTAAATCACGATGAAGAATATCATTTTGATGTAAATATTCCATACCACGTGCTATATCTTGACAGAATCTAATTTTTAATAAATCACTCATTGAATTTGTTTTCATGAATTTTCTTAATGATCCTAATGGACAAAATTCGGTTACAAGACATAATGTATCAGCAGTTGCTACACTTCCAATGAAATTTACAATATATGGACAACGAATACGTTCCATCATTTCTGCTTCTTGCATGAAATTAGGTAATAATTCAGCTAATCCAACTAAATCAGTTTTCATTACTTTAACTGCAACATCAACTCTTCTCCATTCAGCACGATAAACAATACCAAATGTACCACCACCAATAGGTGGATGTTGTAAATGAATTTCTTCATAATCTAATTTAGTAGAAAGAGCAGATTCAACTTGAAGATTTAAATAAACATGGAATTTAGATATTTTTGTTTTACCTTTTTTCTTTTTTGCATCTGAGTCATGAGATGATCCTGATTTACCACTTCCTGATGGAGTTGATTTTGAATGATGAGATTTTTTGATTGAATTTGAACCATTTGTTCCTGAAGATTGAGAATTTCCTTCACCTTCACTATTTTGACTTGATTGTGAACAATGTGCAATTAATTCAGGATTATCTTTTTTAATATCTTTTAATACATTTTGAAGTTGACCATAACGTATTGTAATAGGAACTTTCTCATTTAATACAGTCGTACATTTTGCCATGAATGAGATTGTTAGTACAACACTCTCCTTTGGCTTAATTCTTCCAGTGAATGGTTTACACATAATTTCATATTTTGTATAATCACCAGAATGGAATGTAAAATGCATTGGATATTTCCAATTGTTTGTTAAAATAAGAGTACAGTCAATAGGGTCATTAATTTCAGGTCTTATATCACCAAAATCAATTGTATTAGTTGAGAAAGAGAAATAAGGATTTTCTTGTTTTAAATCAATGTATTGTGAATTTGTTTTATCAAATGGAATGATTGTATTTTCAAAGATGAATAGATTCTCATCATCAATATCTTGTTTGATTTTTCTAGTTAATCTAATATGTAATATTAAGAAGAGAATCATCACAAATATGAAATAAAGAATATAAACTATACTTCCTATTCCCCAAAAAAAGAAATTATTAAGTGCTTTTGATATATTTTTACAATCGGCATTATTCTGTGAATACCATCCTGGTTGACATTCACATTCAATACAACCATTTCCTCCATCACATTCTTCTCCTTTATCCCATTGTTTATTTCCACATGTAGCAAGAATACAACCAGCTCTAGCTTTTGCATATTTTTTTGTTCCATTAACACAAACACAATGATCACATCCATATCCTCCATCACATTCTTCATAATCATCAACTTGTCCATTACCACATGTTGGAACTGCACACTTTACTACACCATCAATTTCCATTGGTTGTGTTCCATATCGACATGCACATGCAATAGTACATTGACTGTCATCATATCCTTCCACCGAAGGATCACACTCTTCTCCTTCATCAATTTTTCCATTTCCACATAATGTACACCCACCGTCAACAAGAACATATCCATCGACACATTCACATTGTCCAGTACTAATAGAACAAATACCATGTTCACCACAGTCTTTATGACAAGTTGTTTTAATTGTTAAATTAATTGTTGCGGCATATTCTTCATTTATTTCAAGAAATAGAAAATATATATGTTCTTTGTCTATTTTCTGAATTAGTCTAGCAAGACGAGAGTCACCTCCACATCCTGATGTTCTTGTTGCAAGACACTTTGCTGGTGCAGTACTACAATCAATTGGAGAAAGATCTGTTGCATTATCTTCTAATTTATAATCACTTAATTTTACTTCAATAAGATCAATAGCAACATCAAAAGCACCAGACTCACAAGTAGAAATATCTATTGTTAGATCACTTCCAATTATCTTGAACCAAAATCCTTTTGTAGTATCTTGATTACAAAGATTTTTTGATATCATAGCCTTTTCTAATTCTAATATACTACTGTATCCTTCTCTGTCTGAGATTAAAATCATAGGAACACTGCGATAATTAGTAGAGCAAGCATGGTTCATATCAGATATATAAAAGGTAAATTCAGGAATTGTCTTAGACGCATATTTGGAATGAATAAATAAATAATAAGGAATATCTTTTCTTAAAATAACTGAGACTCTTGGAGACAAAACATATTCTGATAACCCTCCATTTCTATGTAGACATTCCGGATCTTTCTTTGAATCAACTGAGTCAAGGCAGTTTCTAATAATAACAAATTCAAGGTCTGTTCCAATTTTACGTTCTTGCAAATTTTGAGAATTAATATCATCTATTGAATATTGTTTATCTAACCCTATAACTACCTCTGTAAGTTCTTCAGATGTGATTTCAACCCATACACCATATGTATATGGACGACTCGGATCTATATATCTAGAGCAATGCGTTAATTGGAGTCTTCTTTTTGAAACAGGTAATTCAGGTACTTTCATTGTATAAGTAACTGTTTGTGAATCATTTCTTTTTTTTACAAGAACCTTAAACGGATTATATGTCAACCCAAGTTCACGTGATAATTGTTCTGATTCATTAATGAAACTTCTACAACTTTGAATAGTTGAGACATCATATTTTGAACAATTTCCTTCTCCATACCACATATATCCTGGCTGACATTCAGTACAATCTTTTTTGTACCTTTTGGTGTCACATGAACTACACTTATCAGGTTTATAGCATCCTGATAAACATCCATCTCCATACATACAAGACATAATACAATTTCCATTACCATCAGATGAGTATCCTTTTGCACATTGACAGTCACTCCCACATCCCTTTATACCATCGCATTCTTCAGAAAATGAGTCCCAAACACCATCTCCACATACTGAAATAATTTGATATTCTTTCTTACTAACTTCTTCTGCATTTATACCAACAAATATTATGAATAAACATAGTATCATTACCATCATTCAATATGGTTCCAATAAATTTGAGATTCCAAAAACTCCTCAAAAATTTCATTCGTTCAAAAATAGTATTTCGCATTTAACAAGAATAGAACCTTCTTTTTTTATTGAATGGAATAAACAATCTTTTCTAATCCTTTCCTGTTATTTTTTTTCGTTTTCTTTATTTTTATATTTACATTCATTTACTGTAAATATAATTAATGTCTATTTGAAAGCAAAGTGTCTCAAATTGTAATGATAATTAAATTAATGGACAAGTTGGTTTGATATTACTTCTTTAAATCACCTTTTAGTATAACAGAAAAAGTTTAAACCTATTTTTATGAGTCTTGAGTATTAAATAGAACTGTTTATATTTCTCATATCAGTATAAAAACCATTAATAAAAAGAAGTACATCATATAAGAAAACAAGGTGGTTCTAGAGGAATTGTTTTACGCAAAGGATGTGTCTATTAAAACAAATAAAAAAAAAATGTTTTGTATAATAAAAATTGAGTTGTTCATAAATGGAGTTAATTAATCGACAGATTGTTGAAACCAAATAAAAAAATGTTTTCATTTTTCTATGACATAATAAATGGTTATGAAATCCACAAAGTACGATATTTTATTAGTATTTATGAATTTTTATTTTAAATAAAATTAATAGAATAATTGCTAAGCACTAATTTTCTTCTAAATTTAGAATTACCTTTATATTGTTAGAGTTATTGTCTCAAATCATTTTCAGACAATCCATACAAATGAAACAATATACTAAATCTAATAATAGGCATATAATCCAAAAATATCACTTAAAATTGTATATAAATTAGAATCTTTTCATACGAAATTTAATTATTTTTGTGTAATTAACTCCAGCATTTTTTTAGACTCATTTAGGCAAGGTTTTATTTAATTTTTTAAGAAATTATGTTTTTTAGTCTTAAAAAATTTTATGGAAATAATTCATTAAACAAATAAACAATTATAATGACTTTGTTTGTTTATGAAAATATTTATTGGACAACGTTAAATTAACTCTATAATATTTTTTATATACTCTCAATAAACAAATTATCTCCTAAAATCTTTATGAAGAGTATTGATGAGTTATATGATATTTGCTTACTAAATAACATGTGAAATACTTACATGTTAAGTGAATTTAATGTTACTGATTTATACATAAGAAATTTTAACTTTTCAATTGTAATAAGAAAACTTTTTTTTTCAAAACCTGAAAATGTCAATTATAAAGATATAATTAACAATATAACATTAAGTCTACCTTCCTTTAAAAAAAAATAAGATAACAATGTTTTTATAAAGAATATAAAAGGTAGTAACATATGTTTCTGTAAACAACTTAAGAAACCGATATTTGGGAGTTTAAGTTGGGTAGTAGATACAACTAACACATGTTAGTAGGCTGTTATAAATCATAAAGAATTAAAACAATAAAATGAAAGAGAGTTAATTCGCTACTACGTATAAAATAAATAAAAATATATTTGTTATAAAAAAATAAAAATGAGTTAATAGAGAACAAAAAATGTATTTAGTATTAACTAGTATAGACACCATCTAAATCATTTGCCTCTTCAGGAAGAATTGGATTGTTTGAATTAAATGAATGATATTGGTCAAATTCATTTACAATATCACCAAATTTTTCACAATGAATTCCATTATAAACTAACATATCTTCAGTATAACATAACATAATTGTGTCAGTAGAAGTTTGAACAGCATTCATGAAGAATCCAGTAACAAGAAATCCAATAATCATTGAAATAATAAATGCAATAATAGAATGAACCATACTTCTAAATATAATCATCATAATTAATGACCCAATACATCCACTAATAATACCTGAAACTAAAGTAAGTCCAAAAATGACAGATCCCATTATAGTATCTTCCATAATTGCCATAGTAATGTTATCTTTAATTAAACTACATGCTGTTTTAGCTGATTGAATGAATGAAGTTCTGTGCATACCAACTATAACATAAGTCATTCTATTGATGTATTGGAGAATATCTTCAATAAGTCTAAGAATACAATCTAAACAACAATGAATAAGACAAGTAAATGAACTTTTATTATCATCATCTTCTTCTTGATTTGTTATTTCATATAAAAATCTAAGAAATTGAACAATAGATAATAATAATGATCCTAAAACTATTGAACCAAATGATTTTGTAGTTGAATGAATAAGTGATTCAGTAAAATCTCCACCTATTTCATTATTATTTAAATAATGATGAGCAATCACACTTGATGAACATACAGTAAATATTCCATTGACTACATTACCCATCCAATAACACATAAACACTTGAAATAAAAATGTTGGATAAAAAGATGTTGGTGGATAATAATCATTATTTTGAGTTGTTCCACTCAGGTATTGGACTAATAATGAATGACAAATAACAACCAAAATTAAAACACATAATACCATGACTATTGGGACTAAAATGAATAAAATTGATGTGTTGTGTAATAAAGTAAATGTAGAATGTTTCAGTATTTCAATAGTTAATGGTAATTTGCTTCTTGAAAAGAAGATAATTAATGGAGAAATAAAGAAACATAAAGCAAATATTAAAGATATAACAAATGTATATATCCCTTGGTGAATAGTAAATATTGATGCAACTAACATAATTGTACCTGCAATAATTGGTAATACAATACTAAAAGTATAAACACATAACTTTGTATATCTATTCAATAATAAAATAAAACAATATGATAAAATACAACCAGCAAATAAAACAAATGGGATAAATAAATGTATTGGTGGCATTAAATTAATCCAACTTAAATGATCCTTTAACTACTAAATTAATACTATTTTTTATTATAACTTTACTATTAAACAAACTATTGAATAATCTGGAGTTGATTTTAGAGTATTATAAATAGCTAATATAACTGAACAAATGGCTGCTGTATTAAATAAGAAATAAAAGAAAACATCATTCCATTTATTTTCTCGCTTAGGATAAGTAATTTGTGTTTCTGACATACAACAATAAAAAATAAAAAAGAAAAGTTCACTATTGATTTTTAAGATTATTTTAAGAAACTAAATTTAATGTTATATAAAACGTTTTATTATTATTAAAAAATAATTATTTGCTTAAATAAGTAAAAATTAAACCAATAATAAAAAGCAATTAATTAAGTATTAATAGAACTAGCTTCTATTCTTCCTGGCTCAGGGGAGACTAATCCCATCCCTTCGTCTTCTTCTTCTAGTAGCTCTACGGAGTATGTTTGGTTGTGATCTCCGCAGTATTCCATGACATCCATCATGTTTTTAATCACAAGGTTTTTTACTTCTTTTTCGATGTCAATGTCAATTTTTATTTCTTTAATTAATTTATTACTTTCTTTATTCATTAATCCATTGATTGAAATTACTACTGGAATTATTCTGACATCTTTTAATTTTTCTATTTTCATTAGAATATTCTTTAATTCCTTATACTTATTTCTTTTCTTCAAATACACTCAATTAATATTGTGATATTCAACAATAGTCATATCAAATAATAAACCAGTTTGGTTCTTTTTATCTAATACATATATATATATATGGTATTTTGTGATATTGTCATTCATTTTTATGCATTATTTGTTTGTTCAATATCATTGTAATGTCTTTATATTTGAACATTGTTTCATATGGAGGTTTTATATTGAATATTTCCTGTATATTTTCTTATTAATCAATATTATAATGCCAATATTGTCATGTTTCTCTATTTGTGATTTTTTATGACCAATACAAGATAATAGAATGTGTTCTACTGTAGCTATCTTGTCTTTACAAAGTGGGCAGTATTTTAATCTTTCATTTTTCATTATTTTTGCTTTCTTATACCCACAAAATATTGCACCATCTTGCATTTTAGTTAATTGAAGAAATGCATTCTTTTTAATATTGATTGACTTCCATGGTTTCACTGTAGTAGTTTTATCTACTCCTTTTGACTCGAACCATCTTCTGAAGTGTCCACTAATTTGATGACACTTCCATTTTTTGATGTATTGGTCGGTCAATAATTTCTTTATTTCTACTACTACTTCTTTTTCTTTTTGCTTTTCAATCCCTTCATTTATTATTTCTTCTATTTTTGTTTCTGGGATTTTATGAATTATTGTTTTTTAATTCTATTCCACATTCCTTTCTTACTGTACCATCTATCTAATATGTTATTTCTTATTTCACTTTCTCTGGTACAGTAGTACATTAATGTTCTTACTAATCAATAATATATTCGTCCCTTATATTTATTAATCCTTCACCCATTTCTTCTAGAGGGACATACAACCTATCTTTGGAGTTTCACCAATGTATTTTGCCTTTCTTAAATATTTTCTTATCTCCAAATCAATTTTATCTAGGTCAGTTATTTTCCAATTTACAACTGATGCTGAATATCTGAAGATAGGGATTACTTCCGTGTTTATTCTAGTAATATATCTTCTATTACTACTTTCATCAATGTTTATTTCTTCCATCTTCTGATTCATTTTTTCTTTGATGGTTTTACAATTGAAAGTGTCATCAATTTCGTCGGACTGCCATATTCCTAAGTATTTATACAAGTCCTCACCTTCAATTACGGGGATGTTTTGCATTCCATTTGGTATTTCTTTAATGTTTTTTAATACCATTCCTGATTTTTTCTCATTCATTTCAATATGTAACTTATTATTTCTTTAATTTCATTGTGGATTATTCAAATTTCTTCACTACTTTCCGTCATTATTCTCAAATCATCCATATATAATGTGTGATTTGTTTTTGGGAATTTCTCTTCGATGATTTGAGAAATTACATTCATCTGTATGATGAAGAGTAGAGGGGATAAGGAATCACCTTGTAAAATTCCTCTATTTAATTTAATACATCATAGATATTCATTAAATTTATAACCGATGAATATCTTCCATCTAGTCATCATACTTTCAATAATGTCAATGATG